AAGACTGGAGATTTTGTGAGGCGGTGTTTAAAGTCCTCGAGGGCGCTTTGGCATTGAAAAGTCCAGACATATTTGGCTTGCTTTTCTAGCAGCTTGTGAAGGGGACCTGCAAGGGCTGCGAAGTTCGGGACAAACTTCCGGTAGTATGAGGTAAGCCCACGGAACGAGCGAAGATCATCGACGTTTGTAGGCTGTGGCCACATTGAAATATTTTTCGTCTTCGCCTCGCCAGTTGCAATTCCCATAACCAAAGGTTTGTGGCCGAGGAGCAAAACAGTGTCCCTGAAAAACCGGCATTTTGAAACCCTTCATTTGAGATTTGCTTCTTTCAAAGCTTACAGAACTTTCCTGAGGTGCAACAGACGTTCTGCTTCCGTTTTGCTGAAAATATTTGGATTATCCAAACAGCACAAACAGAAGTAAAATTTTCCTACGATCGTATGCATCATGCTTTGGAACGTTGCTGGAACGGTGCACAGCCTGAATGGGTGGACGTTGAACTCGAAACGTCCCTGGTGATTCGCAAACGCTGTCTTCTCTCGAGTGTCTGCCGACATCTCCACCTGGCAATATTCTGATGCCAGATCGATGGTACTAAAATGCTTCGCACAGTTCAGAGCTTCCGCAGGTCGTCGATCCGAGGCACTGTAGCCGAAGCAGAAACGTGAGCTCCTGCCCTTCTTTATCAAAACAACCGGTGCAGCTCATGGGCTGTTGGAAAGACTAATAACTCCCGTGTTCAGCATTTTATAGGTTTAAGTGGACACAATTGCGCGTCGGTTCGGCGGTAAGCGGCATGGAGCTTCTTGGATTCGGCTTGCTTTGCCGGTGTCAATAGTTATCGTCAATACTGACGTTCTCCGTAAGTCCAAATCACCATGATCAAAGGCGTGCAGGGTTCCGAGAGTCGTACCTCTGAATAAGGAGACTGCTTCTTCGGAATATTTGGTGACGCATACCGGTAACCTGTCCGGCACTGCGACAACGCTACAGGGGACTTCAGCAATCTTCTTCGCAAGAAGGTCCATGCTGGGTTCAAGAAGTGCAGCACCAAACATAGCAGCATTCGATGACAGGTTCCCGAACACGATCGTTCCGGTCCTAGGTGGGAGAGCGGACATGATGGAAAGCTGAACTTTTTGGGTTTGAATAAATGCATCCCCTACCCGTTTTCGCTCATGAGTTCTTTTACTGAAGTCCACACAAAAGTGCTGTTTTATCAAAAAGTCGATCCCCCTTAAAAAGAGAAGCTCATGGAGAATGCCGGGAATAACGATGACAAGTTGGCTCATAGAGATATCTGCAATCTCAATGTTCATTGTAATGCATGGTCCCCAAACTTCGAAAGCGGCGCCGCTAAGACCTATGACTCCATCTTGGTGAGTGAACTCAAGTCCCGGTTCGTGGTGGGGGAGTTCTATCCACTTGTCGCCTCGCAGAATAGTTGCTGATGAAAAGGAGTCAACAAGCGTGGTCATTGAAAATCTGCCCACTCTACTTCTCATGAGGGTGCGGAAGAAGTGCGGAAGAAAGAGCCCAGTCATGATTGTTTCGCGTCCCGGTGAACTTTGAGTGGGTATGCCGTTTACTGACCGGTGTGCTGTAAAAATGTATGAAGGTCACTTGGTGTTGGCGTGAGCTGCACAGAGCTCGCACAGGCTCTTGCAAGGTGGCCAATGCGCTGCACTGTAAATATCGTGGTGGTCGTCTAGGTGTGTTCCCACGAATAACGATTTTGCTAGTGTCATTAGAGCTACTCTGCGACTCGATGAAATAATTCACTGTAGGACTCGGTGCAGCGCCGCTGCTGGTCAACGCCACGACGTGGTCATCAGCTGGTCGTGAAATGAGATATAAATTGCTAGGCATAGAAGCTATAAGCGCTCAGCATCGATATTTCTGAAGTGGCCGAGAACTGTCCGAGGCATGTTAAAGCCGGTTCAGACACTTGCGTTTGAGTGCGTTTGACTGCGTTGCGGCGAGAACCGAAAGCGAGTCACCGGCACATCTGTGCTTCGTATGAAGCGTGGAATCCAATTCAAGGAATCATCTTGGCACGCGATATAAGCAGCAGGGATGTCCTGGTGTCTCGCTGCCGCAACGCAGTCAAACGCAGTCAAACGCAACTGTGTGAACCGGGCTTTAGTCTCGAGATTTCAAGAGGCCTCTTCGAATTTGCGGGATCGGCAGCAAGGGCACGGAACTTGGGTTGAAGTCCCATAATAAATTGATCTCGCATCAAGGTGTGGCACACCTGTAGTGACACTTCTGAATATGCCTGCTCGAAGAGGTCCATAAGGTCGTAGGCGTAAAGGTCCAGGGCTTCTCTGAGTTGATGACAGTGCGATTGGAATTCTACACCTCACACAGCATGCTTTCCTGCCGACGCCAAGCGAAGCGTCAAGGGCTCCACTAATGCCAACAAGGTGGCCTTCTCGTTCTCGGGAAGACGTTCAAAGACGCGAAAGGAACTTTCTCGCAAGCGTGTTAGCATATGCACAACATCTTCTGGGCGTCGTTTCAACCGTTGGCTGCTGTGCAAACACAGAAGAGCTTTACCCAGGATTAAGTTCCCCTCACCTGTGAAGACGTCCGAGAGGACAGGGGTTAGAGCTTTTTCTGCTATCCCACCACTGCCCCTACTTGTAACCGGCCAGAATTTTATCGGTAGACATTCATCTCAGGCCTAAAACCCAATATCGGCGTTCGCCATTCCCTGCACGCGCACACACACCTCTTCTTTCAACCGTCGCACTTCACCCTTCTCAATTCACACGCACCATTGCAGTGCTAAGAAAACCTCGCTATTCGTGGTGAGAAGCTCGCCAGGGGCGCTTTTGCTTTCCTCACTGTAGGGTCCCCGTATAGGCTGCCTACGGGAGTCGGGATTGCGCGTCCGTTTTCCACGTTCGCTGAGATCGATCACGTGATTAGCGAAAAATCCTTCGCTGAGCAGGAAAGTAGACGTTGCACGCGTCCCGCCATATGTTACCCTGCTTTTGCCTCCTTCTCCTTCTTTCCTGTTTTCCATGCGCGCGAACAGCGTGACGCCGCTATTCGCCGAATTCAGTTACGTGACCGGCCGCAATCGACGGAGCACGGCTCCTACACGTGCGACCCTACTGAAAAAAAAAATTATATGAAGCTATCTAACAACTGATGAAATATCCAAAAAATGATATGCGACATATGAAACTGATATGAAACACCCAAAAACTGATATGCGACATATGAGAACTGATATGTAACATATGCCAATTAATATGTAGCATACAACTTCATACGTGATTTAAATAGTAACTTATTTGACGCCCTCATCATGCATATCATTTTTAAGTCATATCTGTTTTTCATACTTTTCCTGTTTTTCATACTTCTCCTACCTTGTCTGTCTTTTGCACTATATTTGTGTGTGTGGGCACGGCAACCGTCCGAGCGACAAGTTATCTAACATGCCCCTTCTTTTCGTGATACAACAGATGATGCTGCTGTGCACCGCATGTCCCGTTCCTGCGTTGGGGGCGGCAACCATCGTTCCAAGACTTGCAAGGAAAAACCAAGCGCAAACGTTGCTACCGCACGTCAGCATCGGCGTATTGCACGGACATCAAGCAGCAACCATGACTCAAGGCCAGAAGGGTACAAGAGCACGGCCCGAAGCAGCTTTCGTCAGTGGGCACGGCAACCGTCCGAGCGACAAGTTATCTAACATGCCCCTTCTTTTCGTGATACAACAGATGATGCTGCTGTGCACCGCATGTCCCGTTCCTGCGTTGGGGGCGGCAACCATCGTTCCAAGACTTGCAAGGCCAAACCAAGCGCAAACGTTGCTACCGCACGTCAGCATCGGCGTATTGCACGGACATCAAGCAGCAACCATGACTCAAGGCCAGAAGGGTACAAGAGCACGGCCCGAAGCAGCTTTCGTCAGTGGGCACGGCAACCGTCCGAGCGACAAGTTATCTAACATGCCCCTTCTTTTCGTGATACAACAGATGATGCTGCTGTGCACTGCATGTCCCGTTCCTGCGTTGGGGGCGGCAACCATCGTTCCAAGACTTGCAAGGCCAAACCAAGCGCAAACGTTGCTACCGCACGTCAGCATCGGCGTATTGCACGGACATCAAGCAGCAACCATGACTCAAGGCCAGAAGGGTACAAGAGCACGGCCCGAAGCAGCTTTCGTCAGTGGGCACGGCAACCGTCCGAGCGACAAGTTATCTAACATGCCCCTTCTTTTCGTGATACAACAGATGATGCTGCTGTGCACCGCATGTCCCGTTCCTGCGTTGGGGGCGGCAACCATCGTTCCAAGACTTGCAAGGCCAAACCAAGCGCAAACGTTGCTACCGCACGTCAGCATCGGCGTATTGCACGGACATCAAGCAGCAACCATGACTCAAGGCCAGAAGGGTACAAGAGCACGGCCCGAAGCAGCTTTCGTCAGTGGGCACGGCAACCGTCCGAGCGACAAGTTATCTAACATGCCCCTTCTTTTCGTGATACAACAGATGATGCTGCTGTGCACCGCATGTCCCGTTCCTGCGTTGGGGGCGGCAACCATCGTTCCAAGACTTGCAAGGCCAAACCAAGCGCAAACGTTGCTACCGCACGTCAGCATCGGCGTATTGCACGGACATCAAGCAGCAACCATGACTCAAGGCCAGAAGGGTACAAGAGCACGGCCCGAAGCAGCTTTCGTCAGTGGGCACGGCAACCGTCCGAGCGACAAGTTATCTAACATGCCCCTTCTTTTCGTGATACAACAGATGATGCTGCTGTGCACCGCATGTCCCGTTCCTGCGTTGGGGGCGGCAACCATCGTTCCAAGACTTGCAAGGCCAAACCAAGCGCAAACGTTGCTACCGCATGTCAGCATCGGCGTATTGCACGGACATCAAGCAGCAACCATGACTCAAGGCCAGAAGGGTACAAGAGCACGGCCCGAAGCAGCTTTCGTCAGTGGGCACGGCAACCGTCCGAGCGACAAGTTATCTAACATGCCCCTTCTTTTCGTGATACAACAGATGATGCTGCTGTGCACCGCATGTCCCGTTCCTGCGTTGGGGGCGGCAACCATCGTTCCAAGACTTGCAAGGCCAAACCAAGCGCAAACGTTGCTACCGCACGTCAGCATCGGCGTATTGCACGGACATCAAGCAGCAACCATGACTCAAGGCCAGAAGGGTACAAGAGCACGGCCCGAAGCAGCTTTCGTCAGTGGGCACGGCAACCGTCCGAGCGACAAGTTATCTAACATGCCCCTTTTTTTTCGTGATACAACAGATGATGCTGCTGTGCACCGCATGTCCCGTTCCTGCGTTGGGGGCGGCAACCATCGTTCCAAGACTTGCAAGGCCAAACCAAGCGCAAACGTTGCTACCGCACGTCAGCATCGGCGTATTGCACGGACATCAAGCAGCAACCATGACTCAAGGCCAAAAGGGTACAAGAGCACGGCCCGAAGCAGCTTTCGTCAGTGGGCACGGCAACCGTCCGAGCGACAAGTTATCTAACATGCCCCTTCTTTTCGTGATACAACAGGTTAGTGAAGGCGATTGCATGTGTTTCAAATCTGACAACCGATGTATTATTGTTCTGCCGTGCCCACGAGTGTTTTTTGCCTGTGCCTTGCAGTGTCGGGATAATTTATTCTTGCTTCTTTCTGGGGACGTCGAGTTAAATCCGGGCCCGGATACAACACTAGAAAAAATGATTAAACAAGTTCTTGAAAATCAAAAGCAAATGAGTAGTGAAATTAAAGAAGTGAAGAAAAACCAGGTTACGTCCCAACAAAGACAGGACGAAATGGCTGCAAAGATCACCCGCCTTGAAACGGCTCTAGACGCCCTCCAGAAGAGCAATCGAGATATTGTTCAGCTACGGGGAACAGTTCAAAAGTTAGAAGAACTAGTTCACATACAACAGACTAAAATAACAGATCTTGAAGATAGGGCTAGAAGAAACAACCTAATAGTGTTTGGTATTCCCGAAACTCGCAGCGAAACAGATGATGACTTGAAAACTAAGGTAATTAGTGACGTTTTTGAACAACAGCTAGGCGTGACTGTGGACACGGTCGAGCGAATTCACAGACTTGGGGAAAAAAATGAAGGTAAATGTCGCCCTGTCATCATGAAACTGTATGATTACAATGAAAAAGTTCAAGTACTCCGGAATTGCAAGAAACTGAAAGGGTCAAAGATATCGGTGTCCAATGATTATTCGCATGCTACTTTACACAAGAGACGGAATCTTTGGCAAAGTGCAAGTGAAGAAAGGTCCCGAAGATTACGTGTGAGGCTTGTACACGATAAGATGCAGATCGGTGACGAGACGTTTATTTGGAATGATGCTGTTGGCTGTCGCGAAAAAGTCACGGATTCCCGGGGTTCACGGTCGGAAAATAAATGACGATCAAAAATTGAGAAGGAAGAATGCCTCCGGCTTATTAATTTGAACGCGAGAAGCCTTGTTAATAAAGTGGACGAATTGGAGCAGCTACTTTTAGTACATAACCCTCATATTGTTGTTGTTACTGAAACTTGGCTGCACGACCAGATAAGTGATTCCGAGCTTCTTCCGCCATCCTACAAAATAATCAGGAAAGACAGAGGATCCCGTGGAGGTGGAGTTTCTATTATCTATAAGAATAACGTAGCCTGCATCTTGATGGCCGACTGCACTGATACTGAAAGCTTGTGGTGCAAAATGACGTTTTGTGGACATACCTATGTGATTGGTGGAGTATATAGAGCTCCTGATTCCCCAACTACGTTCCTGGAGGCTATTAATGATTACCTACAACAAAATGTGACCGATCACTCCAAGATGATAATTGCTGGTGATTTTAACCTACCCGGAGTTAAATGGGATGACTTAGAACCAGGACCAACTGAAACCAACAATGGCGAACTTTTATTGGACATCGCTTTTTGTAATGATCTCGTGCAGGTGGTTCAAGAACCTACTAGAATAACTGGGTCATCTAGTTCTATACTTGACTTAATTTTTGTCTCTGAACAATTAACAAATTATGAAGTAAGCGTTGAAGACGGACTGTCAGATCACAAAATGGTATTGCTATCCTGCAAAGTCGCAACAACGTGCAGAACCGCAAAGTGCTTAACCACGCAAGTGTATAACCTTAACAGAGCCGATGACGTCAGTATTCTCGACCATTTAGATTTACAACTTTCTTCTCTAGAGGGTGTGGAAGACTTAAATGAACTATGAAATCAATTTAAAAGCGTAGTTTTCTTCTGTCTGGATAGATTCGTTCCAAAAAGGGTTAAGCGCGTGGCAAGACAAAACCCGTGGGTTACCCGAGAAATAATTCAACTCAAACGTAAGATAGCTCGCAGCCGCAAGAAAAAAACTCGTAATACCACACTTATTCAAGAACTATCGCGTACCCTGAAATGTAAACTAAAGGACGCAAAGGAAAAGTATTTTTCAGAATCCATGCTTCAATTTATGAGGACATCACCACAAAAATTTTGGCGTCATCTCGCGCCGTCACGGTGGGTGTGGAATATGTCACCGATAATGACCGTATCATTACTGATCCCGCCAGAATGGCAAACGTGTTTAATAATTTTTTTCAATCTGTTTTTGTAGATAGTGACGACACACATCAAAACGTTGATGACATAAGAGGCGCGCGGCTCTCGGCTATGCCAGATCTGATTATTTCTGAGCAGGGCATTTTTGCCTTGCTACTAGAGATCGACACAAAAAAATCACCGGGACCAGACGAAATTCCCAACGCATTCTTAAAGCGTTACGCGGAGTGGGTGTCCAAGTACCTATTTGTTATTTTCACTAAAAGTTTAGAGCGCCATCAAGTACCTTCGGACTGGCTGACAGCGAGAGTCGTGCCAGTGCACAAATCGGGAGATAAGCATTCAGTTAAAAATTATAGGCCAATATCGCTGACGTGTGCTTGTTGCAAGATACTTGAGCATATTGTGTCTAAGGAGCTGTATAGGTTTCTTGAAGATTCAAACATATTTTTTTCTAACCAACATGGGTTTCGAAAGTCACTCTCGACTGTAACACAGCTTGCTGAAACTGTACACGACTTTGCCAAAGCTGTTAATAATCGAGGGCAAATTGATGCGATATGTTTGGATCTATCAAAGGCCTTTGATCGGGTGCCTCATTTTGAACTTATTCATAAATTACAAAACCTGGGGGTAAATGAAAACATTGTTTTGTGGATTAAAGCCTACCTCACAAATCGAATACAGTATGTGCAAGTAAACAAAAAGAATTCAGCTATTGTAAGTGTACCCTCCGGCGTTCCCCAGGGGTCTGTATTGGGGCCCGTATTATTTTTGTGTTATATAAACGACATTACGGAAAAAGTAGGGCCTAATGTTACTGTTCGGTTGTTCGCAGATGACTGCTTGTTGTATACAAATGTTTCTTGTCACCATGATCAGGTACAGTTAAATTACTCTTTACAGCAAGTACAAGAATGGTGTAAGCAATGGAGAATGAAAATTAATCGTGACAAGACAGTCTTTTCTGTGATAACTAACAAAAAGAAAAACGTTCTTCTATTTGTGTACGAATTTGATAACCAACCTTTGACTAAAGTTTCTCAATTTAAATATCTGGGCGTTACAATATCGTCTGATCTAAGCTGGAACGCACATATTGACAACATCTGCTCCGCAGCCAAAAAAAAGCTCTGGTTCCTTAAGCGCAACCTTAAGTACGCTCCACCTGAAACAAAATTAGCTGCATACAAAACGTTAATACGGCCAACTTTAGAATACGCTTCTGTTATCTGGGCTCCTTTTAGAAGTTACCAAATAAGCAAATTAGAAAGGGTGCAAAGAATGTCTGCTAGGTTTGTACTGTCGAAGTATCGAATAACCGAATCAGTAAATGAAATGCTTAAACAGTTAAGTCTTCCCCTCCTTGCTGATCGCCGGAAAATAGCTCGTTTAAAATTCCTATTCCTGTTGAGAAATCAAATGTTTAACCTTAATACAAGTAACTATACAACGCCCCGTGTATCTGGGCATCTAAGAAGTACTCATCCATGTCAAATGAATTTAGAGAAACCAAATAATGATACCTATAAGTATTCTTTCTTTCCAAGAACTATATCAGAGTGGAATAACCTCCCCGAAGAAATAGTATTAAGTGATACCCTAGCTTCTTTTGAAACATGCATTTCTAAATTGTATAATCAATACTAACGAACCTTTCCCTCTGGCACTGGATAATTCAGATTATATGTTTTTGATACTTAAATGGATTGGGACTTCCGTGACTCCATTTATTATCTGCTCATGTGTTCTTGTTGTTCTTTTTTTTTTATTAGCCTTTGTTCGATGTTGTTTTTGCGCGCTCAGCAGCGTACGCTCTTGTAAGTTTTAGCACTGAGAAGATATTATACGTAAAAATGTTTTGTTGTGTATTCAGTGTGATTTACCAAAATTGTGTACTCTTGTCTTTCGTGAGTTGTAGTGTTCAAAAATGTGCCTTCATATGTACTACTTAGTGTTCTATTTTGTATATCTGTTACACTCCTGTAACAGCCCCTACGGGCTAACAGTATAAAAAAAAATATATATACTTGCCTGTTAGCTCATCACTACATTTCAATACATAATTTCAGTCATGTCAGCTCTTAGATGTTTTCATATCGTATAAGTTCTGATATAAAAATGTGTCCAATAAACATATCAGAAATAAGTTCATGTAATTCTTTTCAGTATACGACGAGCCGCGCGAGTAAGCAAACACGTGGCTTGAAACCACAGTGGAGCGGCTTGATTTATTGGCTTTCAAATAATTACGGCATGAGCGTTTAGTTTTTACTAGAAGATTTATTCCCCGAGTCGTTCAAAATAATCTGAGGTATGACATTACCGAAAAAAAATCAACATGCTGGGAATATTATTTATTGCTCAGGTAGTCACCGAAACAATCTGTACTTTCAAAAAAAAAAAAAAAAAAGCAGTATCAAAGGCGGAAACGCAAAGCTCAGAAGTAGTTATCGGGTGTGCTGTTGTATTCATGTTTGTTGTGCTGTGTATGTCTATGCGCTCAATATATATGTTCAGCTGAAGCTAGTTGTATGCGTAATGTACCTACATATGTGTATAATGAAGGTGCCCGAAGGGCCCGAAGTGTAATTGTGGCGTAAGGAAATAAAAATATTTTTATAGCATATCAATAGGGCGGTACCTAGCGCCACCTAGCCTAGCTAAGACGTATATGCGACATATGAAACTGAACCATTGTGGTGCTTCAGGCGAGTTGGTTTATGATTACAACTGGTAGCAGCGTGCAAAAACACAAGGACAAAGGGACGAATGCACAAGACTAGCGCTGAACTTCAATTGAATGTTTAATGAAAAGAACACATCCAAGTAAACAACCATACCGTTATAGCATCAACGCGCAAGATAAGCTATTTCTTTTTTATGTAAATACACCCAAGTCTGGCTAACACAATTATCTCCCTCCTTTCCTATCAAGTACGCTTCCACCAGTTTCCTTGCAGTTTTGTTACCCCCTTTTCCCACAATCGTAATATCTTCAAAATTCGACTGACGCGTGCAAGTGGCAGATGTCTACCCATTGTTGAGCACAGCGACATGGCATGTTCGCGCGCACGGTCGTTGACCCATTGGTCAGTTTGGCTGATGTATACCCGACCGCAGCTCAAAGGGATTCGGTACACCACAGCTACTACACAATGAACATACTTATTCCTGTGTTTTACAGAACTCTTGTTACCTTTGTTTCCTCTGCGAGCCACTCCGGGGCAAAGTTGCGACAACTTCCTAGGCGCCGAGAAGACGACAGGCCCGTCGTACCGCCCCGCTATCTTTTTCACGTGAGATATTTTATTCATATAAGGGATTACTTGTTGCCTTTTGTTCGGTTTCTCTTTGGGTTAATGGGGACCCAGTTTTAACTTCCTTTGTAATTTCTCCGTCACTTTTTGTGAGTGATATGTCTCAGAAGAAGGGGCATTCCGCGATCGGGTTTTTAATAGGAAAAAAGGTCACACGTGAGTGTATTTTTTAAACTCTTAGAGCACATAGGTTGAGTTTACGCCCTAAAATGACAATACCAAAACAAATTCAATGTTTCTTTAAGATATTTCGCGTGAGATATTTTTCCCCCGTTTTCGCGCAACCTTCACTGTAGCGATTTAAGAGCTGACATCAACACGACGCCTTTCTATAGACGTTTGCATCGCTTATTCCCCGCGCAAAAAATGCTGTGTCACTGAGTTCTGGACACATGCGCAGTGTCGGATCTACCGCACAGCAGAGGAAGAGCGCATGCTCAAAAGGCGTTCCACAGTCCAGCAGACAAAGATGGCAGCGCGCAGAAGGCGACTTTTGCAAAGGGTCATTTGGACCGCGATATAGCCTTTCTTAGAGCTTCCTGCTACGTGATTGGCCCTTCTGTGTTCTTATTGGCCAATGCCGCGGTCCGATTGGCTGCGCGGAGCGAAGTCGTTGTTCACTGTATACAGGGTGTCCTCGAGCGTTATGAGGGCGTAATAACAACAATTCGTATGCATAAACCAATAAACGGAGTGAATTGACGCTTATAAAAAAGATGTCTTCAGGTGTTAAATTTATTAGTCAAATTTTATCAGTCTATAGATTTCAGGGGAAAAGATGAAAGCTCATAGAAACCTATTTTCTCCTTCTTACGGGGACGAAAGCGGTGAAAACCTTCTGGGTGACACGGCCACTCACAGATGAGAAAACATAAAAAAAAAAAATATATATATATATATATATATATATATATATATATATATATATATATATATATAAGAGGGAGAGTTTTTTGCCTTTTCTATAGAAAAATTTTTTTTTTTCTTTTTTAGGCCTAATTTTTTTCTTTTTTTGAAACTTACATTTATGAAATATTATTATGATGAATGTGCACCACCTAAAGGAACGTTTCAATATCCTGCGTTCTAATGTCACCCTGACGTTAGCTCATTGCTTTTGTTAATGTGGACAGCATAACAATTAAAACGAAGGTATACGGAACACGGAGGTAAAGAAAGGGACGAAGTCAGCTCTGTGTTCCTTCCTATATCACCTTCGCGTTCTGTCTTACTTGTTCTGCAGTCCGGATGAGCGGCAGCTTTCTTTAGAATTGTCTTGGAAAAGTTTTATGTGAATTGGGCTTCGGATGTGCAATAAATATGTTGAAAAGTAGGTGACTGAAGATGCGACTCACTGTGCAAGTCTGTGGCACGGGCCGCGATGAACATGACCGTGGTCTCGACCATGACCCCGGCGCCGTTGACCACCTGTTGGAGAGGGAATCAGTAAAGCGACGTTCATGCCGTGGACGAAAATCAAAACTAATCTTGTAGTTACAGAAACAGGTTCTGCGGTTAGTTGCGCGTAGACGTTTCGCCCCTAGAAGCTGTGAACGGCAATCAGCCCGCGTGGTAGAATACGATATGGAGACCTTCCGCATGATCCGGTTTTCGCGCATAGACGTGGACGAAAACTGCGTACTTTCTGGAGCCCCTGGTCGTCCATTGGTACAACCACAAAAATAAAAAATAAACAAAAAATATGTTTTTTCGTTACTCACTGCTAAGGCCCCGACGACCTGCCAGGCGTACTCGGGCTCCAAACATCCCATGGTTCTTTTTCTTCTGTTCCCTGAAATCCACTCTAGCACGTGTCTTCGTGCCACCGTCTCGTGTCACATTAGAAGTTTTGCTGTTCTTGACGAGGCTTTGTTTCAATAATCATTCGCCATAAAAAGAGAAAAAAGTCACTGGACAATGGACCACAAACATTAAATGACACAAGTATTCTATGTATTCCCTACCGAAAAACCCAGTATAACTTTTAACTATCTGGATTATGGAACTGAAAATCTAACTGAAATAGACCCTTTCAGAAATTCAGTCTGGCCACTTTGATCACCATCATCATCGGAAAAATGACATATGTGCCGTACTAATGGCGGCCTTCTGTTTACTGATGAACGAAGAAGTTGGAGATGCTCTTTAGCAGATAATTCGAGGCTTATACATTCGTGACGTTAGCACGATGCGAAGCAGGAATTGAAAGCAAGATTTGCATAAGTGTTCATTTCTAGCTCGGGCCCAGCCAATCTGTTGGTAGCATCAAGGTACTCCAAAGCCCCTTGATTTGTAAAACTTTATTAGGCCGTGTACGTGGGTTTACGCTTCGTTCTAACTGGTTGCATCTTTATTTATGTCGTAACTGAAAGAGATTAAAAAAGGAAATGTACTGTGAAGCGCACACTGTCGTTTGCCATTGACTTGCCAAAGTGACGATGCCCGATAAAATACGGCAAACTCCATTTTCATTGCCGCCATTAGTACGGCCAAAGTTAAACTGCCATTATAGCCACCAGACGTCACTGAATTTCGGGAAAGGTCTATTGGAGAAGCAAACACAGTTGTTTCTAGCGAAGTCAAGATGCCTCTTTCTCGTAGAGCCAGTAGTTCCTTGGCCACAGCATCCCTTAATGCGTGTGGTACTGGCCTCGCCTTTTGAAATGATGGAGACATTCATTGTTTCACTTTGAGTTTTCCTTCAACCCCTTTTACGCATCCCAGCTTATCTGAGAATATTTCCTTATATTCATTCATCAGACCTTCAATCCCTTGTATTCCTATCTCTTCCGAACAGTGTATTGCTTTGTTGTTGGCCAACTTCATGACTCTTAGCCAATCACGTCCAAGAAGAGGTGGTCCCTTGAAATCGGCCACTTGCATCTTCAGGTTGGACTCCTTGTCTTCATGCATCACCGCCACTTGTACTTCCCATAGCGGCTTGATCTTCGCTCCGTTAAATGCCTTCAAGACGACATAACTTCGTTGCTTTTTGAGGTGCGAAAACTTAGCCTACTACTTTTGTAATGGCAAACCAGATACTGCTGCTCCTGTGTATATTTCCATTCTCAAAGGAATTCCAGTGACCGATAGCGTTATTTCTAACGAATCATTGCGCGCTTCTTAGCTCGTGCATTTCTATCTCTTCGTCAGAATCTTTCACAGTTACAGACTTTATCTTTTTTCTTTTCGTTACGCTTACTGAAGGGTTTAGACGCTTGTCCTTGCCACAGTGGAGCTGAGCCTTTACAAACTCTTTGCATGTGCCCTACTTTTCCGCATCTTCTGCATTCCAGGCCCTTCCAGCGGCAATTGACCAACTCGTGATTCTTGTAATCACAATGTGAACAACCTTTTCTTTCTAAAGGTTTGCTTCCCACCTTAAGAACTTCCGCGCTGGACGACCCTGAGCCGTGTAGGACTTTTGCACTGGAGGATGCGGCTTTCATTGCTACCGCCACTTCAAGCGCTCTCTTGAAAGCCAAATCCTCTTCTGAAAGCAGACTTTTTTGTATGCTGTCATTGCATAAGCCACATACAAAGCGGTCTCGCAAAGTTTCACTCAGCGCTGTTCCAAATTCGCAGGTTTGAGCCAACTTCTTCAGTGCTGCGACATACTCAAGGATGGGTTCGTTGTCCTTCTGGTCCCTCTTGTGAAAGCGGAAGCGTTCAGCAATCACAATTGGCCTCGGTGACAGATGTGCCCAGAGTATCTCGACAAGTACCAAATAGGTCTTACTTGATGGGGCTTACGGCGCTACGAGGCTCTTGAGTAGCGCGTAGGTCCTTCCGCCGATGATGCTCAGGAACACCGCCACTCGTCTCGGTTCCTTCACATCGTTGGCGATGAGGAATTGGCCGATTATTTCGGCATACATTGGCCAGTCCTCTTCCGCTTCATCGAAGGGTTCGATGCTTCCAAGCGTTGACATGGCCCTTGTCGTAGCCCTGAGCGGCTTCCTTGAAGTCAGTCCTAGACGGTGTACCTTGTCGCCAGTTTGTTATGTTAGGACGTCAATGATTGAGACCAGAACCATGGCCATTCCATAAGCGTTGTGCCCCGAGACCCTGCCTCGATCTCTCGAGCTTTCCCGACACTTCTTTATTTACGAGTGTATATGTCAGAAACATCACAAATGCAGGTTTATTTTTAGTGACTGGTGTAAGATATGAGGGCCGAGTCTTCGAAAGGAATAAGGAAAGTATATTTACATTAAATAAAGACGTTAAGTAATAGGGCTAAGAGCGAGTTAGTGCTGGCTGGCTTGACAGGCATGAGACAGGCATCAGACTGGAACGCACGTGCCGTCCAGGCCGGGCACGAGGGGCGCGTCAAAAGTAGTAGAAAGAGGAAAAGGAGACGAGGATACCACGCGCTCACACAGGCGACACCGAAATTTACAGGTGGATATGGCTTTGCAGGCATGACCCTAGCTGCCGACGACGATGCCTGGGCTGACTCATCGGTGTAGGTTGTACACTTCGAAGCGAGGTGTCCGAGGTGGTTGCATTTGTAGCAGACCGCTTGGGACAAGTCTTGGCCACTACGGAACGCTGGGGCTCCATATTGCGACGAGATGGCTTGGTATTTGGCCTCTTCCAAGTCGGTGGGCAGGTCTGCGATGCGTTGACGTGAGGCTGGGGGTGACGGTGATGTCACGCCAGAGCGCCGCGTAGGGTGGGTAGGACGTTCGGATCCAGCCGACCTAGACGAATGATGTTGGTGATTTGGTTGGGCTGGAGTAGTCGAAGGGCTTGCTTGGCGTGCTGGGCCGACCTATCCAGGCTCGTGCATGTCGCAAGAAAGGCTTGGACGGTTGTTGACCTGTTGGCTGCCAATGCTGCGACGATATGTTGGTCCCGCATGCCTTGGAGTAGGTAGTCGATCTTCTGCGGATCACTCAGAGTTACCGGGCAGCGTTGGATGATCCCTAATTTGGCGAAGGCGTACTGATGAAGGGATTCGCCAATCCTTTGAGTCACGTCCATGACCCGTTCCTGCCAGTGGCTCAGGGTCCATCCTGTGATGAAGGTCTCTTTGAGGGCGTCTCTCCAAGCTGGCCACGTGTCGTATTGGCTTCCGAACGCGAGGTGCCAGTTTCGTGCTGTGCCTTTCAACTTGCTTGCTGCGATGAGCCGGGTGGTGGCGTCATCCCATAAGGCAAGTTGCTGGACGCGTTGAACGTCCTCAAGCCATTCTTTGAAGTTTTGCTTTGGCGAGCCTTCAAAATGTGGGAGGGTCGCGGACAGGTCGGGTA